AAGCAATAAAAGAACCTTGGTGGTGAATAGTTGGGAGCCAGTGGGTGTTTCCTGTCTGTCCTGAGGCGTTGAGTGTAGAAGACATGTGAATAACTTGGATACCAGAAGCTTAGCCCCAGCCCCATCTCCTCTCCCATTGTGAAAGAGAACTGATCACCTTGCCCACTCTCGGGTGCCAGCTCTCTCTTACTCTGCATCCCTGTCCCCAGCTTCCCTAGTAATGAACAGTGAGGTGAACCACAAGACACATGCTGTGTGCAGTCAGTCAGATACCTAGGGATCAAATCCTAAACTTGGATATTCTCATCTGTAAAATGGGGATGATGCTGGTGGTGGTGGTTATGTGCTGTGGAGTCAGTTCTGACTCATAGCTACCCTGTACAGGGTTTCCGAAGCTGTAAATCTTTATGGGAACAGAAAGCCTCATCTTTCTCCCACGGAACAGCTGGTAGTTTCAAACTGCTGACCATGATATTAGCAGCCTGACTCATAACCACTACACTACCAGAGCTCCTTAAAATAGGGATAATCCCCAACATATAAAGTTCCAGTGAGAATTGAATAGTTAGAGAAGGTTTATGAAGTGGTTGACTGATAGGTGACCTCAGTGGATACTGATTCCTTTCCACTGTCCCCCACCCACATCTCTACCATCACTTCTGAGAGGTTGCAGGCTCCATCCTAGAGTATGAAGATGCTCCCTGCAAAAAGATCCCATAACAGCAGAGGGACAGGAGCCAGGACAGTAGAGCATCTGCTCAATTATTTCATCTGAGCCCATCTGCTAGGCAGGGGCATGCACTGGACAGGGCCTTGTTGTTGTTGTCAGGTACCATCAAGTCAGAACTGACTCATAGCGACCCCATGCACAGCAGAATGAAACAATGTCCGATCCTGGGCTAACCTCACTACCGCTGCCACACTTGACGCCATCAATGTTGCCACCTGGCCCATTGGGGGTCTTCCTCTTTTTCTCTGACCCTCCAGGGCCTTATGGACCTGGAGAACAGCATAGTGCCCACCAGTAAGGGATTCTTCAATAAAGTGTGATGCATACAGAAGAGGAAACAGTACCAACCTTGAGATGGTGGTGGTATGGATACTCGTTACTACCATATAGTGCAGTATCATAGGAGCCAGAATGTTCCTGAGAAGCCAGGAATATGTTATCAGGAGGGACCAGGCCCTGGAGAAAGACATCATGCTTGATAAAGTTGAGGGTCAGCACAAAAGAAGACCCCCAAAGAGGTGGATTGGCACAGTAACTTCAGCAATGGGCTCAAGCATGACAATTGTGAGGATGGCACAGGACCAGACAGTATTCCGTCTTATTGTGCATCAGGTCGCTGTGAGTTGGAATCCACACAACAGCAACTAAAACAGGAGCAGTGCATGTTCAAAATAGCACGTATACTAAGATAACCACTTGGGGGGAAAAGAATCCATTATAATCTATCTCTCCATAAAAAATATGAAAGGAGATATGCCAAAGATTTAACAGTGATTGTCTCTAGGTTATAAAATCATGGCCAACTTTTTGCAGATGCTTTTCTTCTCGTTGCTGTCGTCGTTAACTGCCAACAAGTCAACCCCCATTCATGGCAATGCCATGTGCAATGGAACATGAAATGCTGTCTGGTCCTGTGCTAGTCCCAGAACTGGTTACTCATAGACCATAATGATCCACAGGGTTTTCACTGGATTCTTTTTGAAAGTAGATTGCCAGGTCTTTCTTCCTAGTCCATCTTTGTGTGGAAACTGCTGAAACTTTCACTGACAGATGGTGGTGGCTGCACACGAGGAGTGCTGGCTGGGATTGGGACCTGAGTCCTTCATGGAAAGTGGGAATTCTACCACTGATGCACCATCACCCTCTCTTTTGTTGCTATTAAGTGTGAATTACTTGTGTTATAACTTTCAAAGGACAACCATGGTGAGGTTAACACCATGGTTTCTGTAGGCCTCTCCTGTGCGGCCATTCTAGGACCTGGCTCCCCTCCAGTGATTGATTAGAGGCTCTGATTCAGCATTGCCTAGGGTCTCATGATGGCTTGACCTGGCAGGACTGACCTACTACCACTTACTTGCATTTTGTGTTGACCAGACCAAATTAAACCTTCACCGCATCCTTTGCTGAATTTGAACCTCACACAGATCCTGGCAGAGATGTATTTATACATTAAAATATTTATTCATGTAATTCAGCATCCTGCTTATGAAAGTCCTTTGAAAACTCCAAAAGGCTTTGCATATATGAATTGCTAATTTTCTAAGGACCTCATTTCAGAGAACCAAATATACTGTATTTTATTGGGAAAGTGTTCAGACAAGAAACAGAAATAGCAACAACTATATAATCATCTTCATTGAGTGTTTATTGTGTGCTAGGTACAGTGTTAGCTATTTTACACACCACTTGTGTGAGCTATGGGCCTTATTGCTATTTTTGTATATGAGGAACTGAGGCACAGATGGATTGAATTACTTCCCCAAAGCCATATAGTTAGCAAGCCGAGCAGCCCAGATTTCAAAGACCAGGTGTCAGACCTTCTGTCTTCTGAATCCAGGACCCTTTGAGATTTGTCCCTACATCTTGGGTGGGCCTTGTAGGAAGAGTCCTTGCTGCTTGGAAGTTGAGGGGGTGGGGGAGGCAGGGTTTCTGAGAACCATGTCCCTTCCTCATCCTCCACCTGAATGCTTCCAGCTCAGGATTCGGATCCAGTCTCACCCTTCCTGCAGCACTATGCCTCCTCGGCTCTTATATAATTCAGTGCTCTCACTCCCACCTCCCTCGATTTATAAAAGGCAGCTCGATATATGCACATTGTAGGACAATAGGACTTCCAGAGAATGAAGACGGGCTACTAATGCGATCTCTTGCCCTCCATTCCATCTCAGCCCGCTGCACCCCCACCCCCACCCCCACCCCCACATGCTGGGGTTTGAGCCTGCTTTTGCTTGCATTTGCATGCATGAACACATGCTCCTATACATGTGTCCAGGAGCATGTGCCTGTGTATGCTTATTTGCACACTTGGTGTACTGATTATGGGATGTTACACTTGCATGTCTTCACTGATGGTTTTTCTTTTTAAACAGTGAAAAAATCTTGAAAAGTTCCCCCACTAAGGCTTTCCTTTTTCAGCAACCATTCAGGAAACTTAGCTCTTAACTAACCCTCCTCTGGCCGTCAGAATCTAAGCCAGTGTTCCTCCAGGAACCCTCATTTTCTGGTCATCTGAGTTTTACATGAATGTGTGTTGCTGTTTTCCTGGTGTCCTTGAGGCCATGGGATCAGTCCAGGTGCTAGACCCTGTTCTACAGGAAGCCAAGTATTCAGGTTACCTAAATCACCAAGGGTTTCCCTCTGGGATTCTGCTGAAGGTGTCTTCAAGTCACACCAAACCATCCATAGAACATTGTCCATGTTGAGGGTTTTGCTCTGTAGACCCTTTACAATGAGTCCCTGGTCCTCCAACACTTGCTGATCTGTTGTGCCCAACTGGACAAAGACTCCCAGGTCTGAGATGGGGCAGAGGTGGGGAGGGGACATCTGTGATGATTTTATAGCACAGGAAGGTTCCTGAGCCAGGACGATTCTGGATCTTTCATAGTCACTGACTACCTATGCATCTGATGAGCAGAACCACCTCCACCCCCCCATGGAACTAGTGCCAAAGACAAGAGACTTGTTTCTCTTCACTCTCTTCCCAGAGCCACTTAAGGCTTCAGCCAAATTCCTTCTCATCCTTCTTCACTTCTACCACGGCCAAGAGTATCCATTCGAACTTCCCTCAGGAATCAGAGTGGCCTCAAAGTCCAGCCCTTTTCCCACAGCAGAGTCCAGCCCCACTCCTGCACCCAGAATGCCCACATTCCCACTGCTGGTAACGCTGCTCTAAGGGAGGTCCTCCAAGTCCTGCACTGCAGGAGGCCTGGGATTGTGGGCAGCAGGTGATGTCTCATAGTGGGAGGTTCCAAACCCCCTGAAGACAGCCACATTTGGAGGCCATTTTCTTCCATTTTCTCCCCAAACCACAAAGGGGCCTGAATGAGTTTACACTTAACATCTCCCTCAGGACAAAGGGCTTACCAACAGCTTACTCATCCCGCGCCCTCCCCCCCCCCATACGGGTACAACCAGCCCTTAGATGGGGCTTTTGCACTGTAATTGGATTTTTAAATTAGACCTAGCTCCACCCCCCTGGCAAACTGAATTTCACTTGTCTATTTTCCTGATGTATTCATTGTACGGTTTCCCCCTCTTTTGGGCTCAACTCACTGTTTTGTTTTGTTTTCCCCTTCCTTTCACGAAACAGACTCAAATTTTCCAGTGATTTAATTCATCCCACCAGTTGGTTGCAGGACCTACTTCAGCGATTGTCCGTGGAAAAAACTGTTGATTTTCCCTCCCGGGCTCGGACCTACCACGTCGTCTGCCGGACAGAAGTCTTCAGGCAAGATCTGGGTGTCCTCGAACCGGTTCAAAATGCTCTCCGCCAGGGTGTACGTCCACCCACCCACCACACATACATACACACAGAGAACACAGACGCGGCTGGGAAGCCCTCCGGACGGCCAGCGGCTGCAGTTTTATTACAAGACTTCTCTTGAAATGCAAAATCAGGGCAACAGGTTCAATGGCTCAGACTTGTCACATCTCCCCCGACCCTGCTCGTACGTAGCCCGCTCCCACAACACCGCCACCCATGGACACAACCTCCACGCGGACGACCTCAGCTCCAACCCCGAACTTCTTTTTCTAAAAACCCGTTAAGTACCCCGCTGTCACCCTCCCACCCCCTAACGTTGAAGCGCACACAGGACCGAGCTGGGCTTAGATTTCTCGTTCCACACCGCCGCCACGAGTCCCGGGCTCCGAGCCGCGTCGCTGCCCCGCGGGCTGCCCTCCTGAAGGCGGCGCCAAAGGCCGAGATGGGGTCGACGGTCCTGCATTCCCTTCTTCGTCCAGCCACGCTGGCCGGGAGCCGGGGCGGCGCTCAGTAGAGCCCCAGGATGGCGGCGCCCACGTCCTTGGAAGGCCGGCGCTCCTGCACTAGAAAGTTGATCATGCTCTCAGACTTGATGAGCAGGTTGCAGCCCAGGAAGAAGACACCGAAGACCACGGTGAGTGACAGCACGCAGAGCACTGCGATCTGCGCCACACGCGACACCCACAGGCTACGCTCATCGGGTGCCAACCCCGCTGGGACGCCGTCGCTGGCGGCAAGAGGTGCGCCCCCGGGGCAGCAGTCCAGCCACGTGCCCAGTCCGTGGCTGCGGTTCCCCAGGGCGGCCCCGCCGCCATCCACGCCGCCCGCCGCCTCCAAGCCGCTGTGGTTCAGAAAGGTGGCATTCATGGTCTAGGTCTCGGTGCGCGGTCCGGGGCGCACCGGTGGGCGTTCTGGGAGGCCCCGTCGGCTGGTGCGTGGCGAAGAGAGGAAGGCGGAGGCTGGCCAAGCCAGGAACGCCCCTTGGGCCGCCTGTCCCTGGGCACGCGGCGGGAAACGGCGACCCAGAGGAGCGAGCAACAGGCGGCGGAGGTGCTGGAGTCAGAGCTGAGCGCGCGTCGGTGAAGCCGGCTGCGCTCGGTTTCCTGCCCGCCGCCCCACCCCTAGCAACAGCCCCGCCCCGCGGGGCCCCGACGCGTCCCTGGGGGCGGAGACCCCTAGGCGAGCGCAGCCTCCCCACTGTCCAAAGGCTACCAGGAGTCTGGAGACCCGGGACAGTCACCACTATGGAGCCGGAAAAGCTTGACTTCCTCGGGTCAGCCGTTGCCTGTTCCAGACCGGAAAACCTCCCCCTAGGCGTCCACTCTAGACTTTGGTGATTTTTAGTAGTTAGATTCCTGTGGAAGTCGGCCCTAAATCTCTTCTCTGCTCCATCTTGAAACTCTAGTAAGCCTTCTTGTTGTTGTTATGTGTTGTCGAGTCGGGTCCTACTCACAGCGACCCTGTATAGGGAGCCCTGGTGTGGCGCTGTGGGTTAAGGCGCCAGACTGCAAAACCGCTTGAACTGCAAGGTTGGCGGTTCAAGCTCACCAGCTGCTCCTGGGCCACACCTAGGTTTTCTGAAGTGTATGGGGTGGGACCAAGAACATGCATTTCTAACAAATGCCCAGGTGAGACTGATGCTGCTAGTCCACACTATTTGACAAGAAGGAATGGCGCTGCCTGACTGACGCCAGAATATGAGCAGACAGGCTCACAGTAATTAATTCGTTGACTTACTCAAGACCAGACAGCCAGCTAAGCATCAGAGCAAGGATTCGAACCCTGATCTGGCCTGTCCCAATGCTGCGCTCTAAAGTGCTTCTGTTCTCTTCTGTCATCTCAGCTGGTTTCTCCAGCTCAGAGTTAAAAGTGAACGATGATCTCTTTGCTCTCGGAGGAGGAAGGGATAGAGGGAACTTGAACTTCTTTCCAGGAATGGGAGCCATTTTCTCTCTGCTACCCTTTCTGGTAGCATGTTGTTGTTGTTGTTGTTATGTGCCGTGGAGTCGGAACCGACTCATAGCGAATAGTGGTTACGAATCGGGCTGCGCACCGCAGGGTCAGCAGTTCGAAACTACCAGCCACTCCGCGGGAGAAAGATGAGACTTTCTGTTCCTGTAAAGATTTACAGCCTTGGAAACCCTGTACAGGGTCGCTATGGGTCAGAACCGACTTGACGGCACTCAACAACAACAACCCTTTTTGAAACACTGTTTCCAGTAAGTCTGATAGTTGTTTAATGTGCATCAATGAATATTTTATTTTTAGTGAGAAATATACACAGCAAACTATTCAACAGTTTCTAGACATAATGATCATTGACATTCATTTACATTCTTCATGTATGTCAACATTCTCTGGACTTCTGTTCTAGTTGTTTCACTTCCACTAACTTAAACTCCCTGCACCCGCTCCCGGCCCCCAACCTTCTCATCGATGCTTTAAAATAACTGTTGGCCATTTGGTTTTATACGTATTATAATTTAAAAAACAACAACAACAAACATAATCTCAATGATGACCATTTCTCCATCCTCAGTAGGTCCAGTAAGTCTGGATTCTTTAAGAATTTGAAGTTCTGTTCCACATTTCTCTCCCTTTCTATTGTGTCCATGTATTGTGTCCCTTCTGAGAATGTCCAGTAGTGATAGCCAAGCATCATCTAGTTCTGACCACAAGGTAAAGGATGCAGTGGCTCATGGCGACAATTAGTCTTTTCTTTTTTTTAATGTTTTATTTTGAGTTGAGTTAAGGGTAACAGACAAGATAGATCATCAGCTTGACAGTCAACAAATGATACACTTTGTTTCATCTCAATGAGTACAATCTCATTGTCCCCATAACAACCATGATCCTGCTTTCTTCCTTGAGGCTTCCCTTTCACATCTGACATTTCACAAATGAACAAAGCAAAAATATTTAATGTGGAGACAATTAATCTTGTAGTCCAGCTCTTTCTCTGATTCGTGGGGTTCCTTCTTTCTTTCTCTCTTGTTCCAGACAAATAGACACCAACAGTTGTGTGCTAGGTGGTTGTTCATAAGTTTTTAAGACCCGAGACACTACTCACCATAGTGGGAGGGGGGAGCACATCAACTTTAAGAAGCACTTCACAGTCCCCAAGTTATGAATGAGATCAGTTCCTGTGTCTTTCAGTCTTTGAGTGGAATTGGTTAGTACGTTGGAACAGATGCATGCAGTTCGTATTAAACCTCACTTTAGTGCAAAAAGAGGCTGGAAGCCTTATCAATGATTTAAAAGCAGCACCTGCAGCAAATGAAAGTGACTATGATGAAGAAGTTATTGTGCGTAGGGGTTGGTGTGGATTCCTGGTACGGCACTGGAGGATCAGCACTGGACTGCAAACCACAAGGTTGGCAGTTCAAACCCACCAGCTGCTTGGAAACCCTATACAGGGTCTCTGTGAGTCACAACCGACTTGATGTCACTTAACCACCACCACAACAGGGGTTGGTGTGGCATTGTAGTCTAAACACTAGACTGCTAACCACAAGGTAAGCAGTTCAAATCCACCAGTTGCTCCTTGGAAACCCTATACAGAATGGGTATGAGTCAGAACCCACTCAACAGCACTTAACA